CAAATTTGGTCATATCACATACGATGCTAGGAGCCATGTAGGGCCCTAACATTGAAAATTCTTATTTAATTCTTGAAAATGTTCAAAAATTTTAGAATAATATAAACTTAAAATTGTATTTTGACCCACAAATATGCTAATTCAGAATTTAATATTTTTAAAAATTATAAAACTTTAAATAAAATATTGTATTTTGACCCTCCAACAAAATTAAAGATATTCGTCCCCAATAATTTTTTTATCTTCGTCCTTGAATTATATTATTACGCAGATTTTCATTTGATTTGTTTTGTAAGTTTAACTTGAACAAATTAATTTGATTTTATCTAAATTTTATTTTATTCAATTTAATTATACTTTTTAAAAATTAAATTAGAATAATAAAATAAAATTCATTAATTTAAATAATTTAAATTTTTACTTGTTTCAATTTAACGCTCATTCCTAATAAAAATAGCCATGTCTTCACATGTTTTTTAATTTTACTGATTTTTGAAATTCTAGAGCCAAATTTTAATAGTCGGTCGAGTTTGAATGGGTTTCACGAGCAACTCAGCTCGTGATTTAATTACATAGATGCGGTAGCTGGAGTTACGATGCACCACATGTAGCGTGACGTAGTTGTTACTTTCCATGCCAATCTCAAACTGTGAACAGAACATTCGTATTATGACTTGGACGGTAAATAATTCGGTTAAGTTCGAATATTGTTGAATTTTATTTAATTTAAAAGATTTAAAGTTGAATTTTACTTTTTTGAGAATTCACGTATTTAAAATTAATAAGTTTGACTCGAAATTAAAATAAAAAAAATAAGATTAACTTGAGTTAAAAAAAACTTAAAGTTGAAATATTAACACTTAACTTGATTGAAACTCGAACCTAAACTTTAAATACATGAAAAAATTATACTGCATTTAAAAATTAACATATAAACGTTAATATTATAAATAATTTAGTCTAAAAATATGGTATTTTTTGAATTGATAACAAGCTTTCCAAGTATGGTATCAAGTAGTTCCCTTCGATTCGTTAATAACTCGAATCGAGTTTAGACTTGAGTAAAATCCAAAAAATAAGAGTGTTAATTAAACTTTGATCGAATCAAACTTAAATAAATTATAACATGTCTCGTCTCATTTACAATATCAATTAAGACTTTAGAATTATATGTGTACTTATACACGCCTATATTGAATTTATGTTAGTATATATTCATATTGTTTTCCATATGTTTATTAAAACTGAACATTAATTAAATTAAGTTGAATTGTGGATTTAAATACAAAATAAACTAAAAATAAAACAAAAATTTCAAATTCATTCAACCTAATTCAGTTCATGAAAATATTTCAGATTTAACTTGTTGATTTTCATAAGATAAAGGACAGATATTGTTTCCTCAATGGTACCACAAGTGGTCCTAAGTGATAGAAACTCTTGTCTTCGTCTTTAGGATTGTAAATAAGACCAGACAAATCTCAAATTAATTGAATTTTATCCGATCAAAGTCCAGTTAATATTTTCGGTCGATATTTAGATCAAATGGACTCAATTTGAAATTAAATTCAAATAGAGTTATTAATGAGTCGAACAAATTATTTGATGTCCGATTCGAAAAACTCGTGAACAACTTAAAAAATAATATTATTAGAATGTTTAATATAAAAATAAGTGTTTAAACTATACATATTTTCTCATTTAGGTGTCTAAACTTTTTTCAATCAATATGGGTGTCTAACGTTACAGGCTTTATTATTTTAAATGTCTATGCCGTAACGGTCATTAAAAATTATTGTTAACCACTCAAAATACGACATATGGTGCATTTATAATTTTTTGAAAACTTTTATTTGAATTAAAAACTTAAAATTATTTTTTTAAATCCTAAAAGTTTTCTAAAATTTCAAAAAAAAAAAAAGCAAACCTCTAAAATCTTTAATTTCAAACCTCCATTACTGTCGCCAAACCATCTCCGGCCGTCACTACTGCCGTTGCATGGCCACTCACCAATCACCGATCACCCATCGACAATCACCCTTATCGTCGTCTCAAACTTTTAAACCTCAAAATTTCCAATAACTAAATCCCTAACACTAATATTTAAATTCGTAGAAAGGGTATGATTCGTAGAAAAATTGTTTAAATCCCTAGAAGTTGCTTAAATCTCTTAATTTTCGTTGGCAGAGATGTATGATTGCAACAATTGTTTTCGTAGAAAGGGTTTTCATGGTGGGGTGTTTCGTTCGTAGAAGGGGCTTATACGTGGTGGGGTGTATTTGTGGGAGTGGGGTGTTTGGCGACAAAGATGACGAGTGGGTGGTTGTTCAGCGATTGATGATAACGACGACGATATGAAATGAGACATGAATTTTAGATTAGGAATATTTTTAAAATTTTATAAATTTTAAGGTATTTTCTGAAAAATAAGAAATTTAGAGTTTTTTAAGATTTATAAAATTTATTTTTTAAATAAAAGAAATGAAAAATTAGGCTAACGAGTCAAACACTTATTTATTAACTGATTTCTAAACAATTGTTATAGTGTTGATACTTAAAATGGTAACGTTAATAATGTTAGACACCTATATTAACTGATAAAAAAATTTAAACTCGAGAAAAAAATATAATTTAAATTGTTTCTATATTAGGCCTAATTAGAATTAATGTGATCATTTAATAACAAAAAATATGGAATAATAATAAATAAATAAATAAAGGAGGGAAAAAGACGAAATGGTTTAGGTAGGAAGTTTACATTAGATATTCACATCCAACCTGGACCAAGGATGGGCATGGGTTGGGTTAGATCGAGTTTTTGGTCCACTCGATCCGATCCGAGAATAAGAGAGTCTTCACCTGAGATCCTACTCCACCTAATTAAAATAAGGTTTCACTTAATCCGAATATATGACTTATAAATCCGATCTGATCCGACCCTAAATAATAAAAATTTTATTTTTATTCAATAAAAACGGATTTAATTGAAAAAATATATATATAAAGGGTATTATTATAATTATTTCTAAATATATAAGGTAAAAATATATTTTTTCGGGTCGAGTATTTTTCACCCTAAACCCGAATTCAAACCCGATTTTTTTTATAAAAAAAATTCGACCCGATCGGATCGAGTTCGGGTTGAGTGCCCAACTCTAAACCTGGTGCAGTGTTTTAACGACAAATGACAAATGGGTTGTTAAAATATCCATGGAAATTCTACTCTGTTTTTAAAATTGTGATCTACGTAAAGGGCAAACTTGTCATTGACCCTCTAATGAAGGATGTTAGTTGAAGAAAAAGAAAACACAACTTTAATTTAACCAAATTCTAAAATCTTAATGACCTGGAGAATCTTTGTTCGAGAATTAAAGGACATGAAAGCCACGTTACTATTTGTATAAACAATAAATTCAATTATATATTTAGCCCTAAACAGTCAAATTTAAACTATTTTTGTAAAATTAAATCCAATTGAACAATAATTAACTGGACCATTATAATCTTTATTGCAATTAAAATTAATAAATTTAGAGTCATAGATTCATGCTAATACAAAAATTGCATTATTTACAATCGTCATTTTCAACTGATATTACAGCGTTTGGATATACATATATAACTTTTGATTTTTTTAAATGTATTCTAAAATCTAAATATATTTATTATTTATCTTAAATTCAAGTAAAATTAGACGTGAGATCAATTCAATTTGTTTTTGCCCGATTTTTATTTTTAAATTAAATTTCGTTTTTTTATTTTTTATCTTTATTTTGAAAAAATATTTTTTGATATTTTTAAACAAAATGACAAAGTATTTTTCATAAATTAATTTTTTATTTTTTTATGTATTTAAAATTTTTATTAGACATGACATGATTTGATAACAATAAAAATAAAATAATAATATATGAAATAAACTTAAAATATGTCACTTAAATCAAACTGAAAATTAGATTAAAATACAAAAAAAATATTAACACTTTTATTTTAATTAAAGCCGCTAATTTAAAAAAAAATTTAAATTACAACGAAGGTTTTTACAAATATAATAGTAAATTAAACATGTGATAAGGACATTTTTCTATAATTATTAACAAAATAAAATTAGTCACTTAAGATCATATAAGGAAAATATTAAAAATTTAACCAAATAAACTTGAACAAAAGATAGATACGAATAGATCTGATCGCTTTGATAAACGAACCACAAAGAGGATCAAGTTATTGAGAGATCATTGACAAACCGTTAATTAGATTTGTACGATATGAAAAAATTATCCACGAATATAACTCGCATATCCAATCCAAAGGTCCAAAACATGGAAGATCAACATGATAATAAATAAGTGTCATATTGATTAGTCGTGATGATGCCAAATTCAACTTTGAGAAAAAAGATAAACGAAAACAACATCAAAACGACCGAAAACGTGTAATAAAGGCAGAGAAAATCGTACATTAATGGCAGAAGAAAGCGTGACATAAAAACATAATTATTAAATTTAAAAAAAATATATACCATAATAAAATAAAGTAAAAATCATGAAAATCAGCGGTCGACGATCAACATCAAAACTAATGCCGTTACTAATATAAAATTAAAAAAATTTAACTATGATAAAGAAAAAAAGAAAAAAACTAGAACAAAACCCTAGAAAATCCAGTATTTCAAATATTAGCGAATAATAATGCTAAAGTTTAAACAATAACCCGTTACAAAATAGGGATATGAAGTTACTAATAGTTTTTTTAAAATTATATTAACACTTAAAATTAAGATGTCTAAATTAAAAAAAATAAACACCTATAAATATTCAGATTTGCACTATGTGTCTTTAGTCGTTCGATGTCATTTTAGTCATTTGATTAATAGAATTAGTAAGTGGCATTCTCGTAATAGATCCGCATAATCAAACCCAAAGTTATACAACTGATCCTCTTCTGCCTTCTTCACGCTCTTCCTTTGTTTTGTATCCCCGTTCGAAAGTTGAAACTTCACTTTTCTTCTTTCTCTTTAAAGCAACCAAACCTCTCCAACCCTTTAAATTTTGTTTCCCTTCCCAATTATAATTTTCCTTTACTTTCCCGAGAAAAAAGAAGAAGTTCCATATCTCACCGGATCCAATGCCGGTCCCCGGCGAAACCGACGGCAAATTCAACAAAACCAACTCCGTAGCCCACATTCTTTCCTCCAAAACACCGCTGTTCCATCTTAAGCTCTACGCATTAATATCGATTCTCGTGGTCTTGTTACTTCTTTTCTCTTTTATGATCTTCCTATGTTTGCGTTTGAACAGAAACGCGCGCAAGCGCAAAGTGAAACATAGCTCCGGTCTAATCCCGTTGGTCTCTAAAGAGATATTGGAGATCAAGGCGTTGAATCAGAACGCCGATTGCTTTGTCGAGGAGGGAAAGATCGGAGTCTCGGTTCCCAGTAAGAGTAGTGAGGGAGTTAGCGATGATGTATCGGGAGCCAGTGACGTGTCGTCGGCGGATGCTCAGAATATCGGTTGGGGTCGGTGGTACAGCATGAAGGAGCTGGAGATGGCAACACGTGGTTTCGCAGAGGAGAATGTGGTTGGTGAAGGTGGGTACGGCGTCGTTTTCCGTGGCGTTTTGCAAGACGGTTCCGTCGTCGCTGTAAAAAGTCTTCTTAATAACAAGTACGTAAACAGTAAAAATATACCTCTTATGATCGTTTCGAGATATTGTGCTTTTGCTCTGTTTGTTTGCCGGGAAAAGACAAAACATTTTCTGTGAAAATATTTCTCTTTGGTTATCTTATTCATGCATGATAGATCCAAGTCTGACCGTTGGAGATTATTTGTTTTTTTGTTCTTATAATTACTGGTTTGACTTTGCCTTTGCTTCAACATTTTTCTAATAATATTAAAAAATAGTATTTTCTGGTTCAATTATGCTCCTAATCACTTTATCTTTGCACATTTAAAATTTAATCTCTTTACTTTTAACAACAATAATTTAGTTCCTTTATTCTTTTGATTTAATAATTGAAGTCCGATTGATAATACTATCAAAGTAATTAAGTTAAATTAGATTATATATGTTCTATTTAACAGTCATTTTGCTCATATGACCAATGTTAAATGCGTGAAGACTGAATAAGCAAATAAAAAAATTAAATATGAGGATGGATTGTAAGGTTTCTGATTCTAAATCTGGGGTCGTAAGATTCCACGGTATTTTTTTTTCAGAGGAGCAAAGTTTTTTACTTTCTACCTAGAACTAAAAGTAGATAAATTAAATTGCAAATGTACGAAAAGTACAGGGACTAGAAACAGAATTAGACCATTTTTCTTGTTCTTATTTATTTCTTGAGCTTACTCAACATTTTTCCCGTCTGCACTTATTAGAAGAACCCTTAATTTTTTAACTTTATAAGTACTTTATAAGTAGTTTATAGGTACAGGGACTAGAAACAGAATTAGACCACTTTGTTTGTTCACAGGGGACAAGCAGAGAAGGAGTTCAACGTGGAAGTCGAAGCCATTGGCAAAGTGAGGCATAAGAACCTGGTGGGTCTGGTTGGGTACTGCACGGAAGGTGCTCAAAGGTAAATTTTTGTGTATGAATACGTCGACAATGGGAATTTGGAAATTAACAATCGAATACTAAATCATAACATTATTCATTCAAGGATTCTTGTGTATGAATACGTCGACAATGGGAACTTGGAACAATGGCTGCACGGTGATGTTGATCCTGTTAGTCCTCTTACGTGGGATATACGGATGAAGATCGCGATCGGAACCGCAAAAGGGTGGGGAGTTCCATCTTTTGTTCTGTCATTTTTCATGGTCTCATGAAGCAGAATGTTGAAACAGTTAGCAGAATGGTTTTGGTTTTAGCTTTTAGTTGTTGTTTTCTTGTTTATGTTTGCAGATTAGCCTATTTGCATGAAGGGCTAGAACCAAAAGTTGTGCACCGTGATGTCAAATCGAGTAATATCCTTCTGGACAAGAAGTGGAATGCTAAAGTATCAGATTTCGGATTAGCCAAGCTCTTAGGATCCGAAGCGAGCTACGTGACAACGCGTGTAATGGGGACATTCGGGTTTGTTCTCTTACAAAATCTCATGTCTATATGAATTTTTATGTACCTTACATTATTGATTCTTATTTTGGTAGTATTTGTTGTTCTCTGCAGTTATGTTTCACCTGAATATGCTAGCACGGGTATGCTGAATGAGGGAAGTGATGTCTATAGTTTCGGGGTTCTACTGATGGAGATCATTACAGGGAGAAGCCCGATCGATTATTCTCGGGCACCTGGAGAGGTGAACACTGTGTTTCTCTTGCAATGCTTTCATTGGATGCCCGGAGGCCTGAACACCATAAACAATGCCTTTTCTGTTTTGCTGTGCATTTCAGATGAACTTGGTTGATTGGTTCAAAGGTATGGTAGCAAGTCATCGTGGAGAACAACTCGTGGACCCTTTGATCGAAGTTCAACCCTCACCTCGAGCTTTGAAACGAGCCTTGCTAGTTTGTCTCCGATGTATTGATTTGGATGCCAATAAGAGACCGAAAATGGGGCAGATTGTTCACATGCTCGAAGCAGATGATTTTCCCTTCCGCTCTGTAAGCCCTCCTATCACATGCATGCAGCCTGGTGCACAACCTTCATAATTAATACTTTAGTATAAAGAGAATCATAGTTTCATGTTCCGTAAATGAAAGTTTCATTTTATGATTATCGACCGATGTTTTCGATGTCGGTACTCTTTTATTACACCACAACACATATTAAGCACTTCAGGTTGGCCCCAGGGCAGCAGTTGGTGATAATACGCCTATGGAATCCCTTAAAATGCTTTTTATTTTGCAGGAGCACCGACTGGCACGGGAGGGATCCTCAGTTCCATCCACTGTGCCGATATCCGCAAGAGTTCCACACCCGAAGAAGCACACCGAGAAGGTTGATGCCATGAAATCGAGAAGGAAATGATTGCTTCTTACTCAAGGCATTATGGTTACTGAGGTCAGAATATATTGTAGAATAAGTTTTCCATTTTGTCCAAAATGAAGACTGATTAAAACACCTTGGATGTGCATATATATATATATGTTTTCTTACTCGGTTACTTTTTATCGCCATTTTTGGTTTCCCCGAGCCTTGTATATATGGACTTGCTTCAATATTGATATAATACCAGAGTCTGTTTAACTCTGCAATATCAAAGTTCGAACTTCAGATTTATCGGATCGAGTTAAGTTTGGGGGTCGATCATAGATCAAATTGTTCGGTTGAACGGTTACTCTCGGGTTAACAGAAGAGGAAATGCTTGGATATTCGGTTTTTACCTAACCTGGTAACCCTGTTGGTTTCACCAACATAACAAGGCACAGGCAGCGCCTTTTTGTTTGTTTTGGAACGATGATGCCGTGTTAAAGTGCTCTATGGTTATTATTGTGGATGTGGACACCGAATATCTCGTTGTTTGTTGAAATAGGCCTATTTCTCCGTAGATTTTCAGCATGAAAATGGCAACTGCCGTTTGGCACAATGGCTGGAACAGCTTAAAAGAAAAATCACATTGCTGATTCCCTAATATATATATATATATATATATTCGTGTGTAGTACTCGAAGAAGACCACGAATTTACAAATATGTTTAAAATTAACACAAATTAAACAGATATCAGTTGTTAAATGGATGATTGTTATTCTGAGATATATTGGGTTCAAGTACATTGTATGCAGGGGTGTTTTGTGTTTGAACATTCATTATCAAATAGTTGAGTTGTTCGAATATGTATTATATTGTAATTATCCCAAATTAATAAAAAAATATTTAAATTATTAAATTAAAATAAAAAAATGTTTCAATTAATAGATGATGTATATTGTGATATTTGTCACTAGTAACACTATTTTTTAAATAACCTTAGAGAATCAGGATGGATTAAAACCTATTGAGTTCGAATCAAATACTCGTCCCTAATTTTCCCTAACTCTAAATTTCTTTAAAAAAAAGAAAAAGGCAAATGAAATTCTTGGAAATAGGAGTTAATGGACTAAATTTTCATTGTGTGAAGAGTATAGGGACTTAAAAGTATCATTAAATCTTATATTATTTTATTTTATAGTATATAAATTCTGTTTAATTTAATCCATTTGGTACATAAATCCACTTGACTGACGTCAGTTTTACGATGCAGGAACAGACGTTAATCGAGCTTTATACGACACGTGTCACTTTCACATTCAATATCTTAAAACAACTAGTTACCTCGTCATTACACTACACGTGTACAAAAATCAAGCCCCCTTAAAAATTGCAAATGAAATTAAAAAGTTAGTTATTACGACGATCCCTTCAAACTCCCCTCATTTGCTGTGTGGAAGTTTGGAATACATTTCGAGCGTTTCGTAGAGAAGAGTGTGTGTGGAAGTTTATTTTGCTATGGAGGCGAAGTTGGTCGAGAGGTTAGAGGCCGCAGTGGAGCGGCTGGAGGCTCTAGGCGCGGGTGTAGGAGTCTCCTCCAGGGGCCTTCCGGATATCGGTGTCGATATGTCTTCGGATCCGTCTATCATTGCGTTTGACGATCTGATTGATCAATATGCGGCGAAGGTTTCCGATGCGGCGGAGAAGATCGGAGGTCAAGTGCTGGATGTAACTAAATTGCTTCTCGAGGCATTTTCGGTGCAAAAGCAGCTTCTTAAGGAGATCAAGCAAACTCAGGTTACTGTTTTTTCTTTCCTTTCCTTTCCTTTTTATTTTGTTATAACTTTTTGTTGTTATTGCGTTTGTTTGAGATTTTTTTCCGGACGAATCATGTGAAATCCAGTGAACTAGATTCCGGCGCAATTTATCTTTAGCTCAGTGTGGTTTTGGCGATGAATTGTACAAAAGAGGGAAATGCGAAAAGATATCTTAGTCATTAGATAGCTTTCTTTCCAACCTGAAGAGTGTCCATTATGTTTATGAAATTTGACTATGATTGTTACACGACCTTAAGAAGCATTAGAATTATTGAGAAAATACAATATTATTTAGCAATTTTTTAAACCAAATAAATAATCACGAAGCATTTCACTGATAGAGTTTATAGGCAGCTATCCTAATAAGATGTTATCGAGGAGGAAGTTAACATTTGGTGGCTTGAGTGTTTCATATTGATTTTTTTGAATAAGTTGGTTCTAGCTACTATATGCTTTTATCCATTTATTCTGCAAGTATTGTATTCAGTGTGGCTACATCTTGGTAAATATTAATGAGACGTTTGAATGCGTTGCTCTGTTTGTACAGAAACCTGATATGGTAGGCATGGCTGAATTTCTCAAACCATTGAATGAAGTGATCATGAAAGTTACTGCTAAGGCAGAACAGAGAGGCTCCGAATTTTTCAACCACTTCAAGAGTGCGGGGGAAAGTCTTTCAGCTTTAGCATGGATTGCTTACACTGGCAAAGATTGTGGTATGTGAATGTATGTTGTGGCCTAGTTGCTCATAGCTATTTCTGCATTAAGTAGCCACTTTTCTCAATGATGTGACTTACGTGTAGGGTGTAGTGTACCATAAATCTTAACCAATTTTGAACAATGCTGGCGTCTGTTTCACACATCTGTTTAAAGTGTCGATTTATATTCCTGCCTTTGTTCAATGCTAGAATTAGGCTCATGCTTTCAACTAATCACAACACAGGAAAAGTGTGGCCTCCCTTCTCACTTTCATGCTTAGGCCTTTTGTAAAAGAATTTGAGAGGTGCTGCTGCTTGTATGTAACCATATCGAGTGAAGTTTGTGTTATGTGTAAATAGCCATTCTACAATTTTACATGACATTAGAATATGATCTCCTGCTTCTTGTTTGATTCTTTGTAATGTTTTCCTTATTCAAGGTTTGAGCATGCCTATTGCACATGTGGAAGAAAGTTGGCAAGCCACTGAATTTTACACCAACAAGGTACTTTTTATTTCCAGCAAGCCAGCAACTCAAGCTGGAAACTGTGATCCACTAACTTGTTTTCTATTATTTTGAAGCTAACGAATAAAATTAAGGAACATCATTGGATGCATAGCATAAAAGGGTGTTAAATCTTCTTATATTTATTTTGTTTCCTTTTCTCTTAAAAATATGGATCGATTATGATATTGTTGTTAGGCAGATTAACCTCTCTTTTTGATGCAATTGATCTATTTCCTCCAAAAATATGAAATACACACAAACACGCACATATTTATCAGAGTAGAAACTCTAATAAGTTGAAATTAGTAGTAAGTTGTGATTAACACATTATCTTTTCATGTAATGGTGTCAATTGAATTGATATGATCATATATTTAAGCAAAATGTCTAGTTGATCGGTATTAAAATATGTATTGTAAATTTCAGGTTCTTATGGAGTACAAAAGCAAAGATCCAAACCATGTTGAGTGGGCCAAAGCATTGAAGGAGCTGTATTTACCAGGTCTGAGAGATTATGTCAAAAGTCATTATCCTCTTGGACCGGTATGGAATGCCTCTGGTAAGAAGGCATATGCTGCTCCATTGAAAGCTCCTCCACCAGGTGCCCCAGCAGCTCCTTGTCCTCCACCTTCATCTTATTTCAGCTCAGAATCTTCTAAACCTTCTTCATCACAACCAAAACAAGGGTTGTCGGCTATTTTCCAAGAGATCAATTCCGGGGATGTCACTGCTGGTTAACCTCTTACCCCTCTCTCCCCCCTGCTTTCTTGACTAATTTTCACTTTGATGTTGAGCAACTATGATCTGATTCTCTTAATGTGTAGGCCTGAGGAAGGTTACTGATGATATGAAGTCGAAGAACCGTACTGATAGATCAGGGGTTGTTAGCACCAGTGAAAAGCGACCACGTTCCATCCCAGCTACTACTGCTCCAAAAGTCGGACCACCAAAACTAGAGCTGCAAATGGGTCGTAAGTAAGTCGGCATATTTCCTGTGTTAACTTTTATTTGGGCGGTTGATACTTGATAAAGGTAGTTGATTTATTGAGTGTCTATTACTTGTAATATTGGTAGGTGGGCTGTCGAGAATCAAATTGGAATCAAGAACTTGGTTATTGATGATTGTGATGCCAAACAGTCCGTGTATGTTTTTGGATGCAAGGATTCCGTTTTGCAGATTCAGGGTAAACTTATTATATCCATGGATGTAATATATTTATTTTTTTGACAATGCAATGTACTTTCTTTACATGTATGGTTGTTTGCTTTATCTCAGTGCTTTTTTTTTTTTTTGGTTCTATTAGAAAAGAGATGACTGTTGAAAAGTCATATACAACTTAGCGTTGTTATATTATGCAGGGAAAGTTAACAATATAACACTTGACAAATGCACGAAGATGGGAGTGATATTTAAGGTTTGTAGGGCAAGATCTACTTTTTACGTATATATCTTCTGAAGCATAATATGTACTCATTATGCCTTTTAAATCGACAGGATGTTGTGGCTGCTTTTGAGATAGTAAATTGCAATGGTGTTGAGGCACAGTGTCAGGTACATTCTTCATCTGGTCCTGTTCCGTGCTCTTAGCTTGATAATTTTACCATATACCACTGCTGTGGCCTGTACTTGGTGATAATTTCTATACCTGTGGTTATCTACTTCGTGTCTGTTCTAGGGTTTTGCTCCAACAATTTCAGTGGACAATACATCTGGAGCTCAGTTGTACTTGAGCAAAGATTCTTTAGATGCATCTATAACAACAGCAAAGTCAGTTGACGTCAATGTATTAGTACCTGGTGCCGACTCTAATTCTGACTGGGTAAGTTTTCAAGTTTTCGAACCTTTTGACTTACGGTTTTATTAATTACATAACTCTTGCTTCCTCTGTTTGGAATTCATTTGTTTTACTTATAGATAGTTGAGCTTGAATTATGTTGATATCCGTTTGATTTCCGTGTCTTATTTTTATGAGTTAATTGCATCATACATCCCCAAAGTATACCCAAATTCTCAATTGACCCCAAACTTCAAAATATTCTAATTGAACCTTTAATCTATCAATATCATTTCAATCAAGTTCTTTTAGTCCAGCAATATGTTTGAGCATTAAATGTCAACTTGGATCTGATGTAGAGTATGTCTAAAACACTTGGATCAAATCTTAAACACTTGTGCACATTCTACATGGATAATTTGGATCTGATATGTAAAAACTATTTGTGTAATTAAATTCTAATAAGGTTATTTCTCTTTTTAACACGTTAAATTCAAGTTGTTCATGAAGTATTT